GCCTCTCGTAGTCCTCTTAGAACCCTCATGGGGCGTCTTGGGCCTCTTCTTGGGCCGTCTTGGGACCAACGTGGGCTATCTTGGAACTACCCCATCTTGGCCCGCACCCCTCCCCAAGGCTCCTCCCTGCTCTGTCGGACTCCTCCGTACTCATCCTGCTCCTCCTGACTCTAATCCTCCTTGCATCTTCCATCACCTCTGGCTTCTCCCCTGCGCCCCTTCGAATGTCCGAGGATGCATAGTTAGTTCAGGTACTTCATGAGGAGCATCTCCGCACGAAGCCCCCGAACGAGTCCGATAAGCGTTGCTGCTCGGAATGGCTCACCACGGCCACGCGGCGCAAGCCATTTTACCTCGACGAGCTCTCGTGCGACGAATTTGACGGTTGGGTAGACCTCGGAGACCTGTTGGAAAAGTGGCCGCCAGAAGGAAAGGAACACTGGCACAACCATCACCTGGACGCCATCAAGAGATGCCTTCGAGGCCGGCATTGGGCCTATCAGGTACTGGCGGTGCTCAACCTCTGCGGAATGATCGACAACTCTGACATGCAGAAGACCTTTGCCGAGCGGCGTGACGAATATTCGCACTCGATTGTACTGGGAGCCTCCGGCGCTAGTCCAGTTCGGAAGCGAGGGACAGCGTCCACGCCCATGGCGGGTTGCAACCGTCGATGACGATCGTCTGCCCCCGCCCTCGATTGAGCGTGGCCGCATGCTACCCCTTATTCCCGAATTGCCCGACGTTCTGACACTTACTTCAACCGACGCAGAACAACAGGCATCACTACCAACGGATGTCCGGATCAAGCAACAGGAAAAGCAGAAAGCTGACAACGAAGCCAGCATCAAACCACGCAAGATACCCAATAGTAGTCGAAGACAGCAACGACGACTGCGTTGAGGACATGAAGGGTCTCAGGTGTGGTGCCTACTACACCGACCTTCCCTTAGACGCCGACAGTGACGACGATGAGGAAACTCTCATCACACTACCAGCGGGGTTACCTGCAGATGCAAGTGCCGATGTGTTTTCCATAATCCCAACCTTGTGTCACGGACGACATAACAAGGTACATATGCTGGAATTATGTGGAAGTGATGGGGGAATATGGCAATTAGCTTTCAGCCGGGGTGTATTCTCAAGAGGAAACCTCGACAAACATTCATGTGTTGACCTTGCAAGTAAGGAAGTCCAGGATGCAGTTATGCACTACTTGGGTGTGTGCTTCGTTAACGTTGTTGTATTGCAACCCAACTGCAGAACAACTGGGCTGCCTTGCTATTTGAATATTAAAGTCAAGTACGACACGTGGCATGAACACCACAATGAAGACCTCCCACACATCAATTTTTGTAAAAGGGTTGCCGTGCGTCAAAATGACCTCCGACGGTTTTACTTGCGAGAACAGCCGGTGGGCATTTGGGTGGACGAATTACCACCATGGACTACATTGACCAAACGCGAGGGCAATTGCGAAATGAATATGGACCACTGTGCTACGGGTCTTCGTGACTCCCATGGGGTATTAATACGCAAACCTATTGAGATAATGGCCAACCACCGTCTTTTGCTGACGCCCTTCGAGCGGAAACTGTGTGCGGGCCATCATCGACATGCGTCGGTTTGTAACGAGGAACAGACCATGGCAGCCCAATATTTCCCGAAGATGCAGTCCCTCTCCGTCGAAGCAGTTCAACATGCGCACGACATGGTCCTAGTGAATCGTGATCCCTTCCAGCATCATCCTTACTCATCTTCCGTTCTCGTCAATAACATGCGAGGGGTCGACTTGGATGACCCAGCCATCCGTCGGCACCACGACGGATCGACACCCTCAGGAGGATGGGGATATGGCCAGCATGTGTGGGCAACGTCAACATGCTTTCTCCTTCTCACGACAGGAACTCTGAACACTGTAGGTGGTACGATAGGGAGGATTACCATTGGAAGTGTCCAAGCTGCAAGAGGAGTTATGGTCAGGCTAAAACTGGTCACGTAGTTACGCCTGGTATATGTAAATTTGCCAAATCGTCGGAGCTGCCCGACAGCCGCGGACAGGAACTTCCGGCTCGTGCCGAACCGGCAGCGCCACCACCTGCGGCGGCAGCCGCGCCCGAGGCACCAGCCGCTCTACAATTTGTACGGCTGTGAGCGCCGAGGCCTGGTTCCAGAGCTGGACCAACAGCAGGTGCCAGCAGCCACGACATCAGTAGGCAGACATGCTGCTGAACCGGCAGCGGGGCAACCTGCCTCGAGTGGAGTTGGCAGCTCGGACGATCACAGACGACTTCCACAGATCGTAGCCAGACTGGGTCGGCAGCAACGAGGATATCCTCCACCACCACCTGCGGATGGCCCTTCTGCCCGTCCAAGACTCCCAGACAGGTCAAGGTTTGATGTGCAGATTAGTCAACAGAACCTACGCAGCCTCGACCCAAGCGTGGTGACACGCGAGTTGCGGAAACTACACTTACGATGGTTCCACGCCAAAGAGCCC